CGGTATGAGTCTAGGTATAAGACATATTATATACTTATCAATGTTATTAAAAAAAATTGACCTATAATAAATTCAAAATTAATCATATCACAATATCCATTAGGTACTTATAAAGCGTTATACATCAACAACAAATCCTGATACTATCATAGTCCATAGATTTATAATAGTGTACTTTAGAAGTTTCAAGTACCCACGAATAATATCACAACAAAATAACTAAAATAGTTATTCTAGGTTTTTTATTATGTAATTTCGTCCAAATTTGAACTTAAAATGACTATAAAAATAAACTGTAATTCTGTATTTTTTAGATTTTTTGGTGACAGAATTAACTACTTACGTGGAATCTTGTTTTAAATTTTCAATCCTTACCTATAAAAGGTGAACATTTTATAAATTTTTAACTACAAAATAATTATTCAATTTTAAATTTGATAAACTTTGTCAAAATTCGATCTTTAAAGGCTTATAAAAAAAAATTGTGCCTATGTATTTTTAATATTTTTAAACTAATATTGTAACAATATACGAGGAGCCTTGTATTTTTACACTTTTTGGCCCAACAGAAAAAACTTAATTGAAATTTAAAGAAAAAAAAACTAAAAAAATTAAAAACTGAAAATGTCCGTAAACAGATCAATAAGAGTCTAAATATTTTCAAAATTGTATGGTGTATAGAAAATGTTAATATAAACATTCAGTGAAATTTTCATGTATCTACAGTTATTCGTTTTTGAATTACAATAAAATAAGGAAATCGCTACATGATAAATCGAATGAGTATCCAATGTTGTAAAAATTTGAATTTCAAACGCTCATAAAAATTTAATTTGACTTTCTTATACACATTTTTTTTTTTTATAAAGGTATAATCTTATAAGGAATCTTGTAATATATTATAAAATCTTAGATGTAAAAAGAAAATTTTTTACGAATTCTTAACTTAAAATAATTTGATAATTTTCGTGATTTTTCCATATTTTGTCAATTTTTTAACTTTAAATGCTTATAAAAAAATACTGTGCCTAAGGATTTTTAATATTTTTCATCTGCCTTTGAAAAATTATACTAGGAGCCTACTATTAAATTTTCAAGCTTTTTTAAAAAACAAATAAAATTTTATTGATATTTTTAGAAAAAAACTAAAAAAAAATGGAAAATAAAAATTCAAAGCTCAAAGCTCAAAGTTGATGATTAGTGTGATAGGTTATATTGTTTGAAATTTTCTCAAAAACCACTATATTCAATAAATGTTTTCGGTACAAACTACAAAAGTACTACAAAATTCAGTAATTAATTTATATATTTAGAGTTGCACACGTGCACCACACACAACATTTTTAGTTCTTTAATCATCTGAAAAAAGTCGTAGAAAATACAGCACTAAAACCAATTACCTTACCATCAACATATTATACATTATGAAATTATACAGTATTTACTATTTACCATAATTTCGTTCAGAATAATATTTTTAATACGTACCTACCCGCATATAAAGATTTACTATATTATAATAGTGCCAGTGGCGTAAGTAGGTATATTGTCGTATTGATAAGTTATTATATGACAATATGATATAATGATCCCTATTCCCTTCTCGACCTTTTTTACTGTACTATTGAACATTTTGTACCTATAATTAGTATCCAATGACCACGGACTAAGAAATAATGGACTGAAATCGAGCAGCTTATCAGTGGCCTTAAAAGTATGTACAAGAGGCAAGTGCGGGGGGTCACCATCATAATCGAGAGGTTACAGCGCCATCTGTATAAAACACGGACGAAGATACAAAAGGTGAATAAAATAAAACCACTGGTAGCGCTGAAAAGTTTCGATTGTGAGTGTGGATGATAACAGAGGAACTTTTTGCGGGCCGTCTCCCGTCACCCGCCCACCATGTCGTTTCCAGTCCATTATATCCTAGTCCGTGCCAATAACCATGGCAATACCAGTTGTACCAGTTGCAACAGACCACAGACGTGAATTATAGAGTACCTATGTAGTAAATCAAGAGGGTATTCTATAAAAATATATAGTGTGTATAATGCGTATACCTATATCTTCTATTGAAATCCAAATACTTGATTAGGTGGTTTATAAATGTAATCTTATAATGTTGTAGTTATGTTATATTTTCTATGTATGTCGGCCGTCGGGTGTGGGAGTTTGTGAAAGAAAAGTTATATTAATAATTAATATTACTAAATATTGGCCTCAAACTTAATTTATCAAAAATAACCATTGATTAATAAGTACTTACATTAAAAAAAAATTAAACATTTATGAAATTTTATATTTTGAAATAGAAAGATTAGGTAGCTTTAGCAATTAATTTTTTTAATTTATATTAATTATTTATAATTTAAAAGTACACAGTAATTATATGTAGGATTTAATTGTTTTATCTATATGAACAAATAGTACCTATATTTTGATAAGGTAATTTTTTTAAGTCACAAAACATTAAAATACCTACATTAATTGTATCATTGCAGTAGAATTATACTAGACTATACTATAGAGACTTCTTCTGAACAGAGTGGTTTTTGTTTTTTATATGCCTTTATTGTATTAATTCAATACCTACTAAAGATCATACCTACTAGGTTTAAGTAGCGAAACCGGGTTTGACCACGGCCGCCTGGTATGTTCTTAATCTGAATAGACTATAGTAATTAAAATTAATAATTTTACTGTATTTTGTAATAGCGTAGATTAAGGGGCCTGCACGCGACCTGTTTTTTTGCTCAAAAACATACCTTACAGGAAAAACTCTCACGCCTCGTAGATTGGTCCGATTTCCGTAATTTTTTTTTTGTTAAATAGAGGAAGACTTCTTACAGGGCGCATTGGACTTGGATTTTCAACATTATTTTTCTAAGTCTTATGTTACAAGTTTGAATTTAATCAATTTTTACAACTTTTTAGTTTTTGTATTATTTTTTGTTTTTAGCGACGTAATCAAAAATCGAAGTCCAATGCGCCCTGTAAAAAATATTCCTCTATCTAACAAAAAAAAATTACGGAAATCGGACCAATCTACGAGGTGTGAGAGTTTTTCCTGTAAACTGTGTTTTGACCGATATAATACACCCTATCAACCCCCCCTAAATAGGTATTGGGTAGTAGATTAGTGGAAAAGTCTTATAATTGAGGTGGCAACTAAAATATAAAATTTAATTTTCAAATTTTATAGAATTGCGGAAAATTTGAAAAATCGCGAGCAGGACCCTTAAATATAATATGTACAATGTACTAGTATAGTAAATTAATCTATGGTAATAGGTAGTATATGTATTTGTCCTTCCTTTCTGGCTTAAATAGCCTAGGGTTTGAGATGGCTGGGCTCAGATCACGGCTCGCATCATAATAATTGGTATAATAATACGTGAAATAATAAATTACAAAATTTCGGCCACGTGAACAACATAAAATATTCTATGCTCAATCGTGTTTCAAAAAGGTACAAGCTCAATCGTAAATCAAAAATTATTGGTTCTAACATTTTGGTTATTTTATTATTCATTTTATTAGATATCTACTTTAAATTATGATATAAACAAATAGATTATCAACCATCGAAATTGAAACATATATAATAACATAATATTATATATTTAATACCTGCCATTCGGGGAACCGAATTACCGAAATAGTCCTCTGTTCTGTATTAATTATTATTATCGTACGGACGTCGCTCGTCAAAACCATGTAGGTATAAAATATTTCATTTAAAAATTACCACGACTAAATCAAAACCTAAAGTGCAAAAATTAATATTAATAGTTTATTTCGTAAATAAGGGAGTAAAAGATCGTGCACAAGCGTGCTTTCGGATTTCTGTTTATGTTTAAAAATAAATACTATTAGTTATTACTATTTAAAATTTATTTTAATAGCCCCTCCTTAGCAAAAAAAAAAATCTGCACTGTAAATACCCATGTGTAATTAAGAAATCAATTTCAACCCATTTTTCTGTTACCGGTTTTTTTTGGTACCTAGTCAAAATAAATTAATATTTTAAATATAGTGAAATGAAATATTAGTTTTTATACATTTTATATATTAACTAATAAATTTAAATTTTATAAAAAAAAAAAATCAAATTTGTTTAAAAACTATAGTTTGATATTTAAGACTTAAGCACCATCATAAACTATCAAGATAAAAATCATTACATTTTACAAGATATTGTTTATGTATCTTTGTATTTAATAAGCTCACAGTTAAAATAAAACATTTAAAGGTGCTAAGATTTAAGGAGTACCATGGCTTTGCGCCTACACTCCATTAGTTCTATATTATGTTCTTATATCATAAATAAAAATATTCAAATGGAGTTTAGTTATATACTTATATATTTATTTTAAATAAGTAACTAAACAGAATATACAGTATTTTTTCAACATCCAACTTGTATTTGTATAGGTGAGTAGTGAGTACATTGTTATCATGATAAAATAATAAAACAGAATCAACTCAGTTTTTTTTTTAGTGGAATTATTTTTCTCTTGCCATCAGGTAAGATAACTATATAGTAGTGCTTACCAGTGTGCTATCCCCAATTGCACTAATAAGTATAAATAAAAATAAAAATAAAATCAATAAATTGTTCTTTAATCAATAAAACATAATTATAAATCACAATCTATAATCATATAGATAAGTATCTATACTGATTAATCATTTATAGAGAGTTATAATATATTAAATTAAATATTTAAATTCTTATATATAACTGAAAACAATTTATACCACATAATAATTCTTACAGTCTCCGCATACAGCCACATTGTAATAATTGTATCAAATATTGTTTTAATAGTCACAACACTTAAAATTCAAAAATGTATCAACATCAACAACATAAATAAAGTAAAGTAAAGGTAAAAAAGAAAAAATTATCACAAATTTTATAAATGTATATAATATATATTAATATATATACCTATATATAGTTGTTATATTACTTAAAGGTATATTTTATCAAATCATTTTGTAACTTGTTCCAGTAATTTTCCAATAACACATTTAAGTTTTTCAGCTAGTTTCTGAGCTGTATTATCCTGGTCCAATTGTGGCACATGAATAAATATAGTTTGATTTTTATTTATAGATAGTGACTTATAATAAATGTACTCGCATAAATACCTGTAGAATACATATAATAGGTATAAATGAAAATTAAGAAAAACTATAAATGCTCTTGGTCCATATATACCTTCCTGCATCTCGAGATGTGCAAATATCTAATTCATCAGTGCATTCCACTTTCAAGCCTGTTTCAATTTCATTATTAATTAAACACTTATCATCAGGACCGCTCCCATGAATATCCATACCACAATAACCATGCCCATTAGCGACTAACTCAACAGTCAACATTTTAGCCAAGTGTGATACACCCAAATGAACCATTAGCTACAATTAATATATTTTATACTGAAATTATACCAATTACCAATTATATTTTTTATACTGAAAACTTACAGCAGGTTCATGTTGGACCCAGAGTGTCGGCACAATCTGATCAATGTCTTTGTAACATACTGGAATATTGATTGTGACCAAATTTATGTTTAATTCTTCAGCGATGCCAGTTTCGGGTAATACTCGAGCAACCTCCCAACTTGCATTAACTTTATAGTCACGGAAAAGTCCAAAACCTGTGACAACTATCGTTTTTGGAGTCATAATTTGTTAATTAATTATACAATATGATATATTAAATAATAGTATGTGAACTATAGATTTTATATTTTTATTTTACTAATAAATAATAAGTAACAGAATCATCTTCTGACTTCTGATCTAATAAATTACTAAATTATTAATTACATTATTGTATAATATACATTGTTAAATAATAATATTATTAAATTTTTTTTTTTTGATAAGGAGGTGATAACATTATTGATTCAAGGAGAATATAAACATGAGTTTTACATTTCAAAAACAGAGGGGGGTCACTGTCTACTACGGGGTGTGTATTATTCGACGATAGATCAATATTATAGCCTATAGGCAGGGGCGTAATTAAGTGGGAGATTAGGGGAATAGATCCCCCCCAAAACTTTTTTTTTACTGCTAACATTTTGATCAAAGTATTGATAGTGACCATTCGTGTTTGCCAAACATATATATCCCCCCAAACTAAATTCCTTACACCATGCCTATAGGTAACTTAATGTCTAAATATCCCCAAACAATTTTGGCTTTTTAAGAATATGGGATTAGGGGTTGAAATGAAAATAATACATAATCTTATTTTTTCATAATTTTTCAACAGTGTTGTTTTTTTTCACGATTTCAGAAATCAGAAAGTTTACCAAAAAACTGTAAAAGTTAAATACCTATACATTTTGACACATGGTTGATACTGGTCTGGTCACTGGATATGCAAAATATCATAATTCCTAAAACTTTGAAAATTCTTTCTATAGCCCTATATAGGTACCCCAAAAAGCGTTCACCAAAAAATATAACAATATAAAAAGAGCTCCTTTTTAAATCTGTATATTCATATGTAGGGCTGGATTTAGGGGGGGGGCACGGTGCCCCATAGCTCTAAATTCGGTACTGTTAGAGTGTTAATTATGTTTCTATAATAGAAACGTTACTAAAAAATATTTTCTTTATTTTATATTTTATATTTTGATAATAAATAATAATAAAGGTATATAAATTATAGGTATATTAGAGGTATATTATAGGTACGGTCTAGTTTTCAAAAATGTTGGAATAGAATAGAATAGAATTACATATTATTAGGTATAAGCCAACAAGGCTATTTAAGTTATTTTTTATTTAGGTTCGTCGTTCGTGATTACGAATGCTTGCATTGTAATATTGAGATATGTTGATAATTATATAATTGAGGAATATATGGAGAATGAATATTTATGAAGATGACACACACATATACATATATATATATACACATTAAATTTAAATATTTATACAAATATTCAATTATAGCTATAGGCAGGTATATTTGTACCTACAAAGCAATACAAATAGTTCTGCAGAATCAATCGATACGTGATACGTATACAGTAAACGGTGCATAGCATATATATATGTGGCTATGTAGGAATATGTATAGTAAATATTAACACGAGTTACGACTTTACGAGTATGAGTCACATGCATAAAGTGTAAGTATATACTTAAATAATATAGGTATATAATATTGTGTACCTATATAGAAATAAAAATATATACGAGTGCATTCACGACTATGAGATAAGTTTATAACTTTAATTTAGTACCTACCTATAAGAATAGTTGTCAGTGGTGTAGTTATGTTAGGGGAGGGAACCAGGAGGATGATGGAGATAGTCGATAGATATTAGATACCCCCAGAACTTTTATATTCTGAGCGGAGTGATGAATGAATTATTACAATGAAGAGTTATTTTTATGTCTGTATAAATATTTTACTGCTTTATACGATTTTAAACTTTGAAGATGGGTTCTGGACTTCTGGTAGAAAATTGAATATAGATTATACTTTTGAGAGGTAAATAAAAAATTCTCAGATTTTAGATTCTGAGTGGAACGATGAATGTATTGATTTTACAATGACGTATATTTTTTTTTAGATTCTGAGCGGAGCGATGAATGTATTGGTTTTACAATGATGTATGTTTTTATATTTTTATATTTTTATATTTTTATATTTTTGTGTCTGTCATCACGTTTTAGGACAGTAAAAGTGCTTCGATTTTCTTCAATAGTACCTTTTCTGATAGGAAAGTGAATCTAGTTGGTACTTTGGGGGGTCAAAAGTAAACATTTTCCAGTAGTTTTCACAAGCGCCGGGAAAAAACAACATAAAAATTAAGGAAAAACGGGAATTTTTACGCAAAATCGATTTTCCAAAAAATCGAATTTGGTTTTTGGTGTAACTTTAAAACAAATGACCGTAGATACATGAAATTTTCACTGGTTGTTTATATTTGCATTTTCTATACACGATAACATTTTCAAAATATTTTGATTTATTTTGAACTGTTTAGGGACATTTTCATTTTTCATTTTTTTTTAGTTTTTTTTCTAGAAATATCAATAAAATTTTATTTGTTGGTTGCGAAAGCTTGAAAATTTAATAGAAGGCTCCTAATATGTTGTTTCAAAGGCAGATGAAAAATATTAAAAATCCTTAGTCACAATTTTTTTTATAAGCATTTAAAGTTCAAAAATTGACAAAATATGGAAAAATCACGAAAATTAGCAAATTATTTTGAGTTAAGAATTCGTAAAAATTTTTCTTTTAAATCTAAGATTTGAAAATGAAACACAAGATTCCTTATAAGATTATCTACCTTTATCAATAAAAAAATCTCTACCGGACAGTCAAATTAAATTTTTATGAGCGTTTGAAATTCAAATTTTTACAACATTGGATGTTCACTCGATTTCTCATGTAGCGATTTCCTTATTTTGTTGTAATTCAAAAACGAATAACTGTAGATACATAAAAATTTCACTGAATGTTTATATTAGCATTTCCTATACACCATACAATTTTGAAAAGATTTTGACTCTTTTTGAGCTGTTTACGGACATTTTCAGTTTTCAATTTTTTTAGTTTTTTTTTTTATAATTGTCAATAAAATTTTATTTGGTGGGCCAAAAAGTCTGAAAATTTAATACAAGCTTTCTTATATATTGTTACAATATCAGTTGAAAAATTTTAAAAATACATAGGCCCGATTTTTTTTATAAGCATTTAAAGTTGGAATTTTGACAAAATTTATCAAAATCTCGAAAATTATCAATCGTTGGAATTAAAAAATTATAAAATGTTCAGTTTTTATAACTAAGAGTTGAAATTTTAAAACAAAGATTCTCTTAAATAATTCATACTGTAACCAAAAAATCTAAAAAATATATAAACACACTTATTTTTTACAGACATTTTAATTTCAAATTTAAACCAAGAATAATTACGATTTTAGTTATTTTGTTGTGATTGAATAATACTATTCGTGGGTACTTGAAACTTCTAAAGTGTACTATTATATATCTATGATAGTATCACGGTTTTTGTTGATGTATAACGCGTTATAAGTATCTAATGGATATTGTGATATGATTAATTTGGAATTTATTATAGGTACCTATTATAGGTCAATTTTTTGTTTAATACCATAGATATGTATATAATATGCCTTATACATAGACTGACATACCATCACCGCTCAGAATCATTTTTCTTATACAATGATATTATATCATTGAATTCAAATTAAATACCATCCATTATACAGTGACCCACTTGTAACCTACTGTACAGCAGAGCGACACCCACTTGCCCACCTTTTTATTTATATTTTTATTTATATTTTTGTGTCTGTCATCACGTTTTAGGACAGTAAAAGTGCTTGGATTTTCTTCATCAGTAGCTTTTCTGATAGGAAAGTGAATCTAGTTGGTACTTTGGGGGGTCAAAAGTAAACATTTTCCAGTAGTTTTCACAAGCGCCGGGAAAAAACAACATAAAAATTAAGGAAAAACGGGAATTTTTACGCAAAATCGATTTTCCAAAAAATCGAATTTGGTTTTTGGTGTAACTTTAAAACAAATGACCGTAGATACATGAAATTTTCACTGGTTGTTTATATTTGCATTTTCTATACACGATAACATTTTCAAAATATTTTAATTTATTTTGAACTGTTTAGGGACATTTTCATTTTTCATTTTTTTTTAGTTTTTTTTCTAGAAATATCAATAAAATTTTATTTGTTGGTTGCGAAAGCTTGAAAATTTAATAGAAGTTACATTTAAATGTGTAGTACCTACTGTTGTAGTAATATAGTGTATACCACGTAGCATATTTTATGTAGGTTACATTTTACATTTATATACTGAATAACTTTATACGAAGTATATAATGATCTAATATAGATTACTAAATAGTAAATACTAGTTAAATACAATAATACCGCTGTTATTAGGTTACTTATATAAATTATAATAAGCAGATAATCTCGAATATATAGAGATTATTGGTATTTAAAATATTACCAGAAGTCACATATCGGACCAAGACCTTAAAAATATAATACTTTATTTCAGTGTCGTCATTTAATCAATACATTTGCTTATTTTATAATCTGATATTATTGTGATTTGGCCAATTTCTTAAAAATTGGTTGGCCCAAAAAATGGATAAATTCTAAACAGGGTTAATTGTCGCCTGCATCAAAATATACGTACTACAAAAAAATTGAAATTATGCCACTGCTTTGTTCAAATGTACCTATAAATATTAAAACACACAAGATCAGTTATATTTTAGATTCTGAGAGGAGCGATGAATGTATTGGTTTTACAATGATGTGTGTTTTAGATTCTGAGCGGAGCGATGAATGTATTGGTTTTACAATGATGTGTGTTTTTTTTTATATTTTTATATTTTTATATTTTTTATTTTTGTGTCTGTCATCACGTTTTGGGACAGTAAAAGTGCTTCGATTTTCTTCAATAGTACCTTTTCTGATAGGAAAGTGAATCTAGTTGGTACTTTGGGGGGTCAAAAGTAAAAATTTTCCAGTAGTTTTCACAAGCGCCGGGAAAAACAACATAAAAATTAAGGAAAAACGGGAATTTTTACGCAAAATCGATTTTCCAAAAAATCGAATTTGGTTTTTGGTGTAACTTTAAAACAAATGACCGTAGATACA